GGGTGATGACTGTAGGCAGGTAGAGTGTGGCTGGAGGAGGTAGGTCATGAGGAACATGTCTTTGGGGTTTGTGTTTTGTCCCTGATGAATTAAACTCTCTCTGCTTCCTGATTGTCATTTCCTGAGCTGCTTTCCTCTGCCACACCCTTCTGCCACCATGTTCTGCCTCATATCAGGCACAGWGCAATGGAGTTGACAGTCTATGGACTGAGACCACTGAAACCCTGAGCACCAAATAAACTTTTCTTCTTCTAAGTGCTCTTGTCAGATTTTTTTGGTCATAGTTGCATAAAACTATGACTTAGACACCTTATATTTAAACCATAAMACTCCCTGTTACACTGAATCCACACCTATTTGTATTTTTGAAATGCACCAGTATAACCCTTTGCATAGGTAGCTGACTTCAGCTTCTAGGTGTATTCTACTCTTCTTTCAAAACATAGCTAAGCAAGCTTTAACTGCAGAAAAGTTGTCACTGTATTCTCCTTTCGAGATATATATCATCTCTATGTCTTCTATATTATTCTGTTGTGACAAATGCTTGGAAAAGCTTGATGAGGTCAATTCTGTGGATTATTGCTTTAAATCTCTTATTCTCTTTTGCACTGAGACTTGAAAAATATGTGTATTTAAAATGTGACTCACCCGGAATGATTTAGAAGTAAAGTTTGTAATGCACAAACTTCGAATATTGTTGTTAAAGTAAGACGATTTAAGATTTTATAAATAATGGTGATTATGTTAAGCGGTAGTGAAATGCATGTCACAAGTATTCTTTAAATTATTTTAGGGTCTTCTTTAAATTACTTCCAAAGTAGAYAAGAAAGTAAAGGGTGGTAGTTAATTTATAGCAAATAAACAGAAGCAAAAGAGCTAATGGGAAAGTACGTCAAAAGAAAAAGATTAATGGGACTAACTCTTGATAGGGTCCACTGAGGTTGATGTGAAGTTAGGAATTATAGCTATAAGTGTCTCCATCTGTCTGGGAAGGAAGATTCCTTTAGCTGGGCAGGCGCACTAAGGAAACTTCAGACCAGCTGTTGACCCCAGTGCTGGCATTAACATGGGATTGACTTGTTAGATTAGATGAAGCCCCTCTAAATAGGTGGCCACCATGACAATTCCAGAGAGGACCAATTAAGGTCAATAACTCCTCTACCTGACATGAGGGGGAGTTGGCAGAGTACAGAAGGTGGTCCCCAGTTCTCCTGGTAAACATCAAACAGTAATAAATTTGGAGACAGCGCAGTCTCCTTTGTTGTTCTCTGCTCAGAGATGGCCCATACTCTCTCTTGAGTGGTCTCTGCTTGAGCCTCACTTTGCTTTTACTTTATTTTCACCACACTTTCTCTTTASTTTCCCTTATAATAAAGTTCTTTTGCATGGTTTTCAGTGCCTGACTTTAAATTTTCTTTCATCAGAACACAAGAACTGAGGTTTGGTGTTTCAGCTCCCTGATTTCCTGTGTCAATTACACATTTGGCTATTTATAGTTTGCTAAAGATGGGCTTTAAAAAAAAATCTTCATTGGAAATCCCTAGAAGACAGCATAAAGATTTCTTGTTTAATTAATAACAAACATTCTCTTATTCTGGAAAGACACCAAATTGCACATCCATGCCTTCCTTAATTAGTAACAAACTCACTTCCTTTTTTCTGGAAAGATACCAGACTGTTTATCCCCAGACTATGGCAACCCACAAAGTTCAGATCAAAGAAATGTGAACAGAAGTGACAAGTTTCAGTTCTAGGCCTTGCTGTTAAAACTCCCATATGCAACGCTTCTCTCCCCTCCTGTSTACTCTGTCAAAACACAGAAGCACCTCAGAAGCCACACAGTGTAGATGCCCAGGCTAATGGGAATCAGAGGGAATGATGCTACAAAGCAGCATCCCTTCCACATATGCACCACCTCCATGCAGTGGTTTTATAGTTTTACTTATTTTCTTATCCTGTTATTAAAGTGTGGAGTTGGTAAGACCCCAGCATTACTCAAAATAATAGGACTACAATGTTGATTTAAAAGGAAAATTATACTCCCTTTTCATGGCTAGTTTTTCTAAATATAAAATGTTGCKGATGCAAAGTGAAATCAGGCTTCTGGTGCTGATTTCCATAAATCCCTGTTACATCCATTTCCCTTTGAGGCTGTGGAAGTCTTAAGAGTTATTGGTTCCAGCATTAACCTAGGTAAGAAAACAAAGATAACAGCGATAATGAGAATTTTAGAGGGGTACATTGATTATCCTCAGTGATACAACAAAAAGCCAGAATCACAAATAAGTGCAACAATAGTATAAAATTAAGAAGAAATGACCTACCATGCATAAAAGAACAGCAATAAGCTGCTTGTGTTAAGTGTGAAGTTAGACAAAAAACTGTGATGAATACCCTCCGAGTTCATAACCACCCTCTTTCCCAATCCTCCACCTCCCCAATAGACATGTCTTTCATGTAACAAATCAACTGGAGATAAGTCCAGGGTCAGGCAATGACTCATCAGCACATCACATTCTTGGACTCTTTCCACATTTCAACTCCACCATCTTCAGCCTTGCTCTCTGATGGTCTTGAGTTGGCCAGTTCATCCTTACACAGGAGAGAAGGAGAGAGGTATATAAGTAAGTGCACGCACGTGTGTGTGTTTGCACACATGTACACATAAATACTCATATACATGTGAGCAGTAAGCCCTTTCCTAAAAGCCCTCAAGAAGATGTTCCCCCGCCCAGTATGGACAATATGCTCACCAGGCCACCAACCACAGGGAAAGGAGGATGAACTCACTTGAATAGACTACCAAGCAAAATTCATCCTTTGTGTTCTGAACCTCCTTCCATATACACAGTACCTGAAAAAATGGAGTTCTTTTAGCAGGTGATTCTGAAAAGGTGTTCCAGGTAAAAAAAAWATATATATCATCTCTATTATGGAAATTTGTTAGAAAAGCTCCATCCTAGAAATACTAAATTAAAAACATTGAAGGTGGGACTCTGAAAATTTAGTATTAACTGGTTTTCTAATGATTCTTACTCATGCTAAAATTTGAGAATCACTTATTTACTGCTTCAAAGTAGAACTTGAGTAGAGAGTAGACAACCAATAATTTATACCATTATCTAGATATTTTCTAATTAAAGGCATCTTTCTGAACTCTAAACTTTTCTTCACAGACCATAATAAGACAAAAATGAAATGGTTAAAATAACAAAACAAAAAAGAAAGAAAGAAAGAATCCAAAAGCTGTAAAAGGCCCAAGGATTCAGAAATATTCAAAGAGGAAGCAGATGTGGTAAAAAAAAAATTTTTGCAAGATACAGGAAGTATGTAAAGAGGGCGCTAGGTTAAGAAAATTCAATTTACCTCCACAGAACCCCAGAAAGACTGAGGACTTAGTTGTATGAAATGAAGGAGAGCATAAAGTTGAAAATCAAAATTAAACTATTGACTGCGTGAAAGTCTCTGCTCAGAAGCCTGTTCACTTACCCTGTTGCTACCTCCACGGAGACAATGCAGCAGCAGCCTAAGCAAGAGGTGGCAAGTGTCTTGGGTGTAGAAATGAACACAGAATTGTTTGGATTAGAAAATATAATATTCATCCTAGAAGAAGAGATGAAAAATTAAAAATGAGAACTAACCAAATTTCCATATYTTCTCTAGCCTTTTTCTGCAGCAGCCAGTCAGAAAACAGGAAGCTAAACCTGAAGCAAAAGTTTACTGTGGACAGGAGACCTTTCTAAACTCAGTGTGTGTTTTAACTTCCTCAAGCATCATTAAACACTATGAAGAAGATACTATTACCATCCTCATTTACAGATTAAAAAACAGAGATTGTCAGGTTACTTGCAAAGCTCACAGCGATGGTGAGTTGAGGACACTCACCATCAAATTAGATGGAAAGTTAGATGGAAAAAAGAAAGAGGAAAATCAAATCACCTGCTCTGTGATTTAATTTTCCTCTTTCTTTTTTTTTCCATCTAATTTTCGCAATTTTTCTCTCCACCTCCCCCTCTTTCCTGCCACCTCTTTCAGTAAACCTTCAAATGTTTGTTAACCATGGCGAGCAAGACAATGAGGGAAAAAATAGGAAGAGCGGAGAGTAAGGTTTCATTTCTTTTCAGCTTGGGTTGCTGTGGAAGTCTCATTTGGAAGATATCCTGTTACTTTTGTCAATATAAATGTTGAAACAAATTCAATAAGTATTTGTTTTATGAATGCCTGTGCGTGGGCTGGAAAATTAAACATTCTTTAAAAATCTGTTCCACTTGATTTCTAAACTACGTTTTTTAAAAAACAACAACAACAAAAATCATTTCATGGGGTGGGGGAGGGGGCRAGACAACAAGAAACAAAAGGAATCATCGAGGAAAACAATCTGCTGCGACAAATTGAAGATTGTGTTTCTTTTCATGTTCCTCTCCCTCCCACCTCCCCCCCCCCTTTTTTTTCCTTGCTGTCTTGGTATGATTTCTCGCAGGTGGATGCTAGAAAGTGGGGCGGGGAAAACAGGACAAAAAAGAAACTCCATGGAAGTAGAAGGGAGCCCATCAGGGTGGAGGAAGAGCAGCAGGGTTGGGAGGAGAGGAGATCAAAGGAAGGGAAGTATTGGGGAGGGAAATTGCTTTTTTTTTTTTTTTTTTTTTTTTAACTATGTACGACCCTGCCACAAAGAAACCCGCAATTCTGTAAAATGAATAGGCATCAAGAAAAACTAACTCTTAAACCACAGGAATCCGAGGGATGGAGGTCAAAGCCACAGGAAAGGAAGTTTCCCCGAAGAGGCCACTCCCACCCAGTGACTTTCCAGTTCAAGGTGGTGTAGGCGCTAGTTCATCTCTGCCTTAACCCCGGGACAAGTCTTGGGGCCTCTCTTAGAGCTAGAAAGCAGCGGGGCAGCCGTTCTGCGGGCTTCAGGCAGCGGCTCCGCCTCCAGCTTGGCCGACTCCCGACCGCGCCGGGGGGGACCCGGCGCATCTGCGCAGGGCAGGGGAGGAAAATTCTTCTTGAATACGCAGGATCCAGGAAACGAAACCCAGAGCCCCTGGTGTCCGCGCCAAAGTTTCCTTGCTAGCTTTCACTCCAAGGCGTTTCCTCGCTAGCTTCAGGGGAGGTTGTGTAACACCTGTGCCACCAGCAAAAGAGTCGAGAGGAACGCAGCCTCCACCTGGCGCCCGGATTCCCACCAGCCTGAGCCACAGGTGAGCGAGGGCTTTCTCSGCCGCCTCTCCGCCGCGGGGGCGCGGGACCTGCGCACGTTTCTGGGAGGGACCTAGGTTAAGCGAGCTGCGGGTGCGGAGAGGCACAAGGGTCTTTGTGTCCTGTTTGCTCTGTGGGTGGAAGTTGGGGGGGGGGGATAATTCTGAGGGACCTGGAATGAGCTCGGGAATGGAGCAGAGATTCAGCAAGGACCCAAGCTGTGCCGGTGGTATTCTTGGCCCATCCCAGAACCTTTATAATGACAAAGGTGTGTCCTGTTGGGGGTGTGGAGGATCCCCAAGGGCTCTACTTGCAGTTAGTGGCACCACTTCACAATTCAGAGAGCAGTCCTCAATCATGGCCAGAAGGTGAGCGCAGAGCTTCGGCCAACTTCGTGGGGCATTAGAAGGCAGGATTAGTAAAACTGCTAGCTGCCATTGAACAGCAAACATTAATAGGATTATGGCTGCAGCTCAAACTATGTTTGGCAATCCGGAATACCAGAGGAATAGGAAAGACAGAGGGGTAGGCGGCATGGTGGGTGAGCCCTTCAGAKGCCCGCGTCCATCCTGCCTCACGTCCATGGGCTCTGGGCCAGTGTCTTCATTCATGTTCCTTTAGCTGCCTCATCTCTGAAATCTCTGAAATTGTGTAACTATTACAAGAACCACCAAGTTAAGAAAGAGCATTACGGGCATTAATATAAGGTGTGAGAGCCCCACCTGGCACTGCAGAAGGTCCCCAGGCAAAGCTCGCTTCCATTATTTCAAGTATTTGGCAAAGTGCCTGCTGCTCCTTGCTGACCACCCCCACCCCCGGGGGGGGGGTGTTTTATTGATGCCTTGGATTCCTGGACAGCTGGGCAGGACCACTTCCCAGTTCCGGAAACCAGAGTCACTTCTTCAAGTTTGGCAACTGGAGACATGTTAGAGAGCTGCAGCTTGGTGAGAGGTCTTAGGCAGATCAGGGCTCCTTCCCCTTCCTGATCCTGCCTTACAGCAGAACTTTCTCTTAAGTAGGGCTTTGAACAATGAGCACACACGGAAATAAAAAAAAAAAAAATGAGTTTCTACATTTGGATAGAAAAGCAGSGTGTAAACAAGGTGGATGATAGACCAAGATCTGTAAAGGGGCTTAGCATACAGGCGGAGGGACATTACAGTAGGTGAACACGGTCCCTGTGCACCCTCCATCCTCACCTGTAAGGAGCTTCTCCTTCCCTGCTCTGCCACCTCACCGACCTCTCATTCCTGGGTGAGTCAAGACACTTCTGGGAGTCTACACTTCTGAGGTGTGGTGTCCCCCTTCCCCCGCCCCCATTCAGTGTCCCTGGCATACACCCCACACATATACTTCATGACCTGGATGCTTATAGACATTTTTTAGCTTTCCTGACAATACCACCACAGCTATCATCTAAATAAGGATTTAGATATGTCATCTAAATCCTATGACATCATTATCTTCACTCATAGTACCTGTAGTAATTTAATTATCTTAATTGTTTAAATCCCCAAGTGTCTTTGTATAGTACTCAAATGCCTGGATAGAGACTTGCTTGTTCTATATCTAAAATTAGTACTCTCGAGAATCACATTTTCCACTTGGTGAATACTGAGATGGGAAATGTTTATGTAAGCATACAGGAGGATGTGTGTACCATGAATGTATGTGTTCACACACAYGCACACTCACACACTATAACACAGTATTGCATAGTGCCCAATTCCCCCGTTAATAAATACTAACAAATGTTTGCTTTCCAAATTTTGTTTGATAAATGCTTAGAAAATCCTTACCTGGCCTAGTAAAAAAAAATGTACATGGCCACAAGAGCAACCAGGCTTTTTTGTCTTACATATGAAAGGCATTACATTAAAGGCGGACTCTAACAAATGTCATTGAAAATTGGGAGCTGACTTGGAAGATGAGTTTTTGTTTCTTCCACCTCTTTGGTTTATTGTTAGTTTTGTAAAACCCTGGACACTACTAAGTTTGTCTGAGTAGATGTATGATCTAAATTCTTATTCAAGGGTTACAGTAAAATACTATAAGATTCTATCCCAAAATGGTTCTTTTTTTTTAAGGTTTGTGTCTTTTTTTAAAATTATTTTATTTGTTTTAATTAGTTACACATGACAGTACATGACCTTGACATATCATACATTTGAATCAGATGGGATATAATTTCTCATTTTTCTGAGTGTACAAGTTGCAGAATCACATTSGTCATGCAGTCATGTATATACACACAGCAATAATAATGTCTATTTAATTCCACTATCCTTTCTTTCCAAAATGGTTCTAAGCACATTTGTTTTGTTTTCTTGAGCCCAAACTACAGAAGTGGATTTTACGGAAGACTTCCTGTTACAAGCTACTCTGCACTTAAAATCTGCCTCCATCCTGCATCAGACACCTATTTTGCAAGTCTATGTCCTGTTGTATCAAATTACTTCCTTCTCCCCTTTCCTTCCCCCTGTCATTCCTGTAAATGCCCTTGTTTTGCTCTGCTTATCTATTAACATAACCACAATTAAACAGATGCAATATTTTTCTCATTAGCTGTTCATGAAACATTTTTAAACGCACACAGTTTACCCACAAACATAATGAGAAGGACGTTAAAATCACTTAATTTTTTACTATCCTCAAGAAATTTTGCCTTCTTCTCCTGGCCTACTCCAGTGACCCTCCTTTTCCTCTTCAGATCATGCAACACCGTCTTGGGATTGAACTTGTTTATATTGTGTTTTTGGTTTGCAGGAGATGGAGGTGGGGGAAATTTGTGGTTAGATAATTAACAAGTAAATCCAGGTAAATAAACTAAATCTATTTTATGTACATTGTATAGACATAGTAATTTTATGATCTTCTAAAAATACTTTTTGAAAGCAATAGAAATTTTAGGATCCTAAGTGTTGGGTCAGAGGTTGTCACTGTAGTATGAGTTATGAAGTCACAGCTGAAAATCTCCATCCCTTTTCTCCCTCTCCCTAGTGGGAGTATTTTACAATGATCAAATAGCCCAGAGCAGCAATAGGGACTTATGATATTTGACAGAACAACTTTATATGTATATATATTTCTGTAGCATATGATGCTAAAATTACCACCAAAGTTCTCATTCAATGTATGWAGAAGTATGCAACCATCAGATTCTATTTTGGAGTTCTGTTTGTTCAGGTGTAATTATGATTCCAATCATACAATATATTTTATGAGTTTATTATAGACTTTTTACTCTGGGTGCATCATAAATATGATTTCCTCTTCCTGGAAAAAATATATATTTATTTATATTTATATATGATTAGCAGGAACCATTATTTAAAAGCTATTAGGTTAAATTTACTAATTCAACCAGGGCATATCTAATTATTTCCAAAATGAATGATATGTCTTGAAATAGATCCATTAAAGTTGAGAAAACGGAAAGATGCTCCTAACAGCCAATAAGAGGTCAGGAAGAGAAGGCACCCACATGGTAGATGACTATATTTATCAAGTAAATAGCACTTTATTATAATAGGAAACTACTGTTAAAATTAATTGGCACCTGTAAAGATAAAAGAACCAATTAACATTTGGACATTGCTTATGACATACCAGTTTTAATGCTTCAGATATTTTGTAATTGCTACATTTAAAACCTATAGTAAAGCYGGGCTCTGTAGCATACACCTGTTATCCCAGGGGATCCAGACGCTGAGGCAGGAGGATTATGAATTCAAAGCCAGCCTCAGCAATTTAGCAAAGTCCAAAAGCAACTTAGAAAGTCTCTATTTCAAAATAAAATACAAAAGGCCTGGGATGTGGCTCAGTAGTTCAGAGCCCCTGGGTTCAATTCCTGGTGTATATATATATATATATATTAAAAAAAAACAAAAACAAAAACAAACAAAAAAACCCCACAACATAGTACAATGAAGATCCAGATTTTATTYTACAGCATTTTTGCCAATAGGTACTCATTCTCACTTATATTTTAAGACTCAAAATAATGCAACCAACTAGGAGGAGAAAGAGCAAGTAGGAACAATTGAGTACTGTTTTGTACTCTGTTTAGTTTCCCTTCCAGGATTTCTGGATGAGGAGGGAATGATCTGTAACCCTAGGAAAATACTGTGTTTTCTCTTAGTTGGTRCTCATTAGGAAGGGATCTGGAACCTTCCAGTACTAATGCTTAAGATCCACCTGACATGATATACAAAATTAGCTTATGAAATTTCTCATCTTTCTAGTTTACAAGTATTTGTGGCTTGCTGGACTTCCTAGCCCAAAACAACTAAGTTCTAAGAAGAAATACTTTTTAAACACAAACAAAAATATTTTCCATCTCTGATGTATAGGTTTGCAATCCAGAAGCTAAAGGATCTTTCGTTTTTTTAAATTCAGTTCACAAAATATAAAGAATAAAATTTTGCCTGTGTTTTTCCTTTTTGGATGTTATTTAGGATTTGTCCAATATACTGTTTGGTGCCTTTCTGATATTGGTAGGCAAGTTGAAAAAGACTGGAAAAAAAAAAAAAAAAGAGGTCCCTTAAAAGGTCCCTTAAAATTACTGTTAAAGGGCTGGGGATATAGCTTAGTTGGTAGAGTGCTTGCCTCACATGCATAAGGCCCTGGTTCAATCCCCAGCACCACAGAAAAAGAAAATACAAGAAAATTACTGTTAAAATTAATTAAAAGCCATTTAATTAAGCCTATTGAAGATTGATGTCTTAAAAGATGCAGGTGACAGATAAAAACTTTTGAGATATGTAGTTCAGCATAGTAACTAAGGGATACTGCCTATTTCTGTACTAGAATTTATCAGTCATTTAATTTGTATGTATCTGTGAAGATACTTAGTCTATTTTATGCAAATAGGTATTCCTTTTAATGTATCAACACCAATATGGTGTCGACCAAATTCATCTTGAGATTTTGCATATATGAATTCAGTCTCTGTTTGCAGTTCTTTCTCTGATGGATCTTTCTACTCAGTTCTTCCGTCCTGCAGTACTTTGATCCTATCTCAGGCTTTTCCACCTCTATTCAGTCTCCTCCCTATCTACTGTAAATTCCAACCCCATTTTATGTGTGCTGATTACAGTGAAAACATGGGGCAAAAATTCAGTTATGCAACAGTTTTATCTCCAACCCACATGCTCAGACAAGCTGCCCTTCCTCTTCCCAGGCCCACCCACTATTGGTGGCTCTTTTGCTGACTCCTACGYCATAGACTGACTGATAACCTCCAAAGTCCTATATGTAAACCCAGCCTAGGGAATCAGATCAAGCCCAGAAACTCCCAACGMCTGGATGAGGCTAGAGTCAGCTAATGAAGAGGACTGTCCCTTGAGTGTGACTCTCTAGTTCTAGTGAACTGTCTTTCCACCGTCATATTTGACCTATAAACTCATAGACAGTGCACTAATATCAGATCTTTTTTTTTTTCAGAACTATTTAAATCATGGAGAAACACAGTAAGTAATTCATAAGTATTTACTTTTCTTTCCTATAATGTTCAATCTATTTACCTGCTATTTGTTACAATGTTCTATTCCATTCTTGAATTTATTTAGTTTGCTTTGTGTTGTTTTTGCTCCAGAATCCAATGTCTAGCTCATTGTTTCTACTATAAAGGTGTACACAATATTCACCACCAACAATCTTTTTTCATTATTAATAGGAAAGTCTTAGTGAGAGCAACATATTGGACTTGTTGGTAAATAGATAAGTATGCTGTATTTCATCAAGAACAATTTTTCTATTCTCTGCATTTTATACATGGAAGGTTTATTCAAGTCATACTTATTAACATAATAAATTCACTATGTCAGGTGATGGTAATGAAAATCTCAGATATATATACTCATACATTTTTCAGAATATACACATGTGTATAGGCTTAAATAAATATCAATCTTAATGTTATCTACATGTTAGGAAAAATACCAGAAACCAAATCCTGTTTTTCTGAAATGATGTGTGTTCTCCCTTTTATTTTTATGGAGATAGCTAAATATATATATATCAATGTCTTAGATAATCTTTTTTTTTTTTTTTTGGTATCAGGATTGAACTCAGGGGCATTTGACCACTGAGCCTTATTTTCTATTTTATTTAGAGACAGGGTCTGACCACTTTGCTTAGCACCTCGATTTTGCTGAAGCTGGCCTTGAACTGGTGACCATCTTGCTCCTCGGTCTCCTGAGCCGCTGGGATGACAGGCTCCACTGTGCCCAGCTGTGATCTTAATGACTGCTATATTGACTTAATTTTATTTGTAAAACTTAAACTTTTAAAAAGTAGGTTTATTTTGAGAAGATTACAAGTTTGAGGGCAGCCTTAGCCACTTAGCAAGACCCTGTCACCCCCCCTGTCCCTCCCAAAAAAGATTGGGGTATAGTTCAGTGGTAAAGAATCCCTGGATTCAATCCCCAGTGCCCACCCCCCACCCCACAAAAGTAAATTTATATAGATGTAATGCTTCATGTATTAGAAGCTCTAAGATACTTCAATTCAGAAAAGTTAATTTAATTTGTCCATGGTCATTCCCACCTTTTATCTTTTCAGTTTCATATATATATATATATACACACACACACACACACATTCACATGAGCATAAAAATAAAATATGTATATGTACATGAGTAAATATGCACATATACGAATACACATATGGAGACATAAAAATATAATATCTTTAAGACAATGTAATAGTTCTATGTTGCATTTTAGAATTAGAGAAATAGACCTTAATTCCTATTCTCTTTGTATTCTTTTTGATCTACATGAACATCTGCCCATTCACTTATGTGTGTGTGTGTGTGTGTGTGTGTGTGTATGTGTGTGAATTCCTCCTGGTAATCCTGAATTAGGATCATTGCACTGGTACCCAAACCCAGAGATAATGAGCTCCAGTTTTCTGAGTCTGTCTCTTCTTGAGGATGTGTGTGTGGTACATAATTCAAACAATCGGGCTTGTTAGTCTGATCCTATTGTTTTCTAACTCACATTGGAAGTGGGGCTGCAGGCAGGATCCTAAAAGCTGGAGAACTAGGGAGCTGGGCTGCTTTTCTAGCTAAGAAACAGAAGAGGATGGTTGGGATGAAATGACCTGTGCTATATCAGAGAACTGTGGTAATTTGAGACATTGTGGTGTCTGTCCAAGGAAAATCCTAATTCAAGTAGGGGATTTTTTCATTGCTTGAATTTGCACAGTTTTGGTGACTACATTCTGCTGAAGGTGTTGCCACACTGATTGAAAGGGAGGGAGGTGCAGTCTGCTTCCTGATAAGCCAGTAAAATTACAGGAGTTGAGTGGCCTTTGGAAGTTCATAATACAGACACATACAGAAAATATGAGATTCAAAGTCCAATTAATATTTTCTTCTATATCTGTGTCATGTCTTCATGATCCCAAAACAAACAATTCTGAATTTCTAGTCAGTAACCCATAAGGAAGTAGAGGTGAGAATAATATAAGTTTAGTGTCCACTAGACCATCATTTCTGTGAAGGGAGGGCCACTGCAGCCCTAAAGCCCAACCCATGGGTGACACAGGAGGTACTCAGTAAATATTTATTGATGGGTTGGGTAGATAAATGAATCACTGAGGAGAAAAGAATATGAAGAACTAGGAAGTTGAACTATTCAAGCAGATAATTGGCAGATAACAGTTTAATATTAGTATATTATTATTAACATGGATTTTGTAGGTCAGAATGAGTTTTAACTATCTTTTTGTCACAAAATCAAAACCTAGAACTGAACACGTTAACATATTTGAAAAAAATAGCTCTCATAACAGACACAACTTAGGGTAAATGAATTTACTTTGTTTCAATATAGCTTAAAACCACATAAGTGAATATTATCTAAGCACAATGACTTTTGCTTTCTAATATATATTTTATTTAACAAACATACATTTACCTCTGTTTGAATTGCAGACATGCCAATTGATGCTCCCCAACCAGGAACGAATTTTGATGCTGGATATTCCTCTCCATATCCACCAACAGCATTCCAAGGTAAAATATTTGATTAAAAAAGAAAGAGTAACATTAAACAATTGATATTCCCTAGGGACAGAAGAAGAGGGAGGGGGAAAGTTTCTTTATTTTAGTTGTTCTTTTTTCTTGAAATTGCACTAAAGTAATTGCTTTTTTACTGACTTCTTCCTCATCGTTACAATATAGTATAACAACTACTTATGTAGGATTTATATTATGTGAGGCATTATAAATAGTCTAGATATGACTTAAATCTATGCAAGGATTTTCATAGGTCATGTGCAAATACTGTACCATTTTATATATAAAAGACTTGAGCATCTGTGGCTTTGATTTCCCAGGGGGATCCTAGGACCAATCCCCCTGGATACTGAATGAAGGACCACTGTACTATTGATTATCCCCCTTAATGCATATGGAAAATCTGAGGCCACAGACAATATTGGACAATATCAGGTTTCAAGTTCTACATTCTGGATTAACAGTTGTGTGATGGTCCTGAACAAGCTGCCATACCTCAAAGCCTCACTTTTATTATCTATAATTGGGGATAATGTTTTCTCTAATTCAGGTTGCTTTGGAGGTTAAATGCAAATACAAAGAAAACTATGAGCACAATGCAAATAATAAATGACAAGTGTTGGTCATTTGTGCATTAATATTATGTTAAATCAGTTTGGATTTATATGAATGAGATAGTTATCCATATTTTAGGAAATCCTCTATGCTTAATCCTTTGATTTGAGGAATAATCAACCAGCAGATTATAATCGTGTCAATAATATATCCACTTAGCTCCAACCTCCACATCCCTGTTGACTTCTCTCCTGAGGACTTTGCCCTGAGGCTTGTGATCTTTAAAAACATTAATCTCTTCCTATCACAGATGTGTGTTCAGCTCTCCTTCACTGAATCCTCATTACTCTTAGGATAAGTGCCCAGAGTGGGTCATAGGAGCCTTTACCCTCTTTCACTTTGAATGCTTCTTGAAGCAGGCTCTCTTACTGGTCAGCTAGACTGGACATCTTTCAGATTTTTAAAGGCCTGTGTGTGTTACTATGCAGGGACTATTCTCTGGAATGTTCTGTGCCTTTGACCTATTCAACTGCTGTGAATCTTTCAGATCTTAGCTGAGAGGGGATCACTCAGGGAGACTCCACCTATACCTTCCATTTCCCATCTCAATAACTACCTTCTGCATATAGAGTCATAAAACCCTGGCCCCTTACTGCAAAGCATTTGTTTCCAATTCCAGCTAGAAAGTCCTACTGGTACTAGATAGAGCACTCTAGAATAGGGTACATATAAAATTTTATCTCCCATTAGGCAAGGGGGACAAGGATTGCCTCTGTGTTTCCCATTGTGAATCCTAGGGCTCAACACTTTTGAAAAATGTTGTAAGATACAAATGACATCATGGAACTCACTTTTCTCCTCAGAATCCTCCAATGCCTGCTGATCACAGGGGGAAGAAAATAGCAGCTCCTGACCATGCCTCCCCACCTTGTCTGCAGATGAACTGTTTCCTATTGTTCTACTGAGGGCCACTGCTGTTCATCCTCTCTTAGGGCCTTCTGTTCACAAGCATGACACATTCATTCCCCAAGTTTGGGTTTATCTTTGCTTTTCCTTCCTCTTGGGTGATTTCTTACCAGATCTTAATATAAAACTTTTCCCTTGTTATCTTTAGATTCCAAAATAAATTAGATCTATCTAAAGTAGCTTCCTCTGCTGCCATCTCCCCCATATTTTCTCCATGACACCAATAGGAAATCTTTTTGTTTTTTATCTCCCAGCAGTTGACCCCCAAAAGAGATGGTTCCCCCATGAGTAGCTCAATTCTATAACAGAGTTTGTGACAAATTTATTACCTTTGAGTATCTCTTCACTGTAGAAGGAATAGTTTATAAAATCTTAATTTTAAAACACTATTATGAGGTTCAGTCGGTTGTTAGCTTCCATTTTTAAGTTGATTCAGTAATTTTATTTATTCATTTATTTTTCTGGTGTTAGAACTGAACCCAGGGCCTCATGCCTGCTAGACAAGTGCTCTACCACTGATCTGTGCCCCCAGCCCATTAGCCTTAATGTTTTGGTATGTGAATTTTGTCAGAATAAATGGCCTGTTCTGAGTATTCAATTTTATATGACTTTTAATGATAAAACATAGTGGAACATAGTCTTTAGAAAGTATATCGTAATCGTTGAAATCCCTGCTCTGTAAATAAGCTTATAAAGCTTCATGGTAATCGCACATTCAGAGAATATAGAGTATATGCCTACTAAATGTCTTTTTCCACTGTTTATTAACTACTCCAAAGAATTTTGCCTCTCACAATGTTTGCCTTCCTTATTTCCAGAGAGCATGTTGGTTGTTATATTGTGAAATTTAAATTTCTAAACTAAATATCATAATGGGGTTTATTGATTTTTTTTTAAATGAATAGAGACTTTATTGATGAAGACAGTGTGGACTAAAACTCCAAGCACACTGTTAATCCAGATATGTATCTGGAATATGCTAGAAGGATGCATACCTTTACTTCTATACCTGGATTTCTCAACAGTGGCATGGAAATATTTGGGGCTGGGAAGTTCTTGGTTTCCAGGAGACTGTTCTGGGTACTTTAGGATATTGAGCAGCAGCCCTGCCTTCTACCCACCGGTCACCAGTATCATGCTTGTGACAAAAAAATAAATAAATAAATAAATATATATATATATATATATATATATCTCCAAATCTTCCCAAACATCCCTCAGGGAAAGAGAGAGAGAGAGAAAAAAAAATACACTCCAGGTTTATAGTCACTGGAGCTATCCTTTGTTAGAATTCCAGAGTTGCTTTGTTCTTTAGGTGCTTTGGTGCTTGAAATGCCCAGGACTTTAGATTAGATCTTCTACAATGCCTTTTCTCCTGTCCTTGAAGGCCTGCCAGGATGTTTATGTCGTTGGCTCTTGGTCATAGTTTATTTTCTTTCACTTTCTCACGTGTTCAAGTTTTTATTATTTTTTTTTTTCTTTCCATCTAAGTTTTGAATGCTGAAAGCAGGGCAGCTGGCCAGCTCTTATCTCAACCCACCACCCTCAAAAGAGAGTAGATCTGAAACTACAGATATTGCATTGAAAAACCTGAAAGATTAAAAGAAAAATTTAAACCTCATTGATACTAGATTTCTGAATTTAGAGGTCAGATCATAGATAGCTGGGGTAATTGTAAGTGGGTTGATGGTTCCAGTTTTCTCTGCAGATACCTATTATTTCAATGACTCTTGTTTCAGGACCTCCGGGACACAGTGGCTACCCAGGAATGCAGCCTGGCTACCCAGGACCATCCCAGGGTGCCTATCTAGGTCCCCAGGCTGGCTACCCAATCCCACCACCCGACTATACAGGTGCTGGCCCAGTCGGCTTCCCTGTCCAAAACCAACCAGGTGGACCTGTAGGGACACCATGGATGCCTGCACCACCCCCTCCACTAGACTGCCCACCTGGATTGGAATATTTAACTCAGGTAATTTCAGATACATAAAATACTCGTGAAAGACAAACCTGTGCTCCCAACTTACATAACTAGGGTAACAAATGAATATTTCACCAAATTYGAAAATGGTAGAACATTTTCTGCTGACAGATGACTGATTCCTCTCATTGAAGTTCACTTTATAATCAAAGCACAAAGGTCTGGATAATTGTGTTTTTTGTGACCTTGAATTAAACCTGTGATATAAGCCAATAGCAAATATTTTTAAGCACTATTTTCTAGTATTCATCCTAAGCATAATACATGTGTTGTCTTACTCTTTATAGAGAATCTATAACATTATATAATTAACAGCATTTTTTTTTCAGGAGAGGAGAGTGAGATAAGAGTCACACACATTGCCCAGGGTCAAACCCCCATAGCAATGAGATTGGCTGTTTAACCTGGACTTTGGTACTGAACACAGTGCTTTTCTTTCAACACTACATAGTTTCTTTGGAATTAAAAGAAAAGAAAAACTTAAAATAAAGTTTATTGCCAAGTTTCAATAAATGGCACCAAACAAAGAGTTAAAATTTTGTGTATGACTCATCTTTTTATATCCAATAAAACTACATATTTATGATGCTGCTTTTGTTCTTTGGGAGGTCCAGTTTTATAAATGCCACCAATAAGGAAGAGAAAAAAAGGCCAGGATTTTACTGTCCTACATGATTTGAATTTCAGCAATATGAAGTTGAACATAGTTTAATGTGAGACATCAGCTGGGTGAAATAGGAACATGAAGGGCTGAGTGTTCAGTGTCTATACACTTGAGAACCAGTATTCTTACCATGTCTAGCCACTGCTCAGTAAGTCAGGGGTCCCTCAGGCTCACACTGTAATAATTTAATTTTTCATAATGTTTTCAAGCAGCACATACCATAGGAATTTTTTGGTCATTGTCATATTTTTTCAAAAAATTCTGAAACACATATTTTAAAAATCAGGATATCATAAAATACATAGATGAAATTATTAGTGACTACAACTGATGATATTACACTTACAATTTTTGAAACTTGACAGATAAAGAACCCTTTTAAATGATTAAAAAATTATCCATACCTCTCTTGAGTTCTTCCTCAAAAAACTATATGTATTTTTGCTGTTGTTGTTGTTTTTAATTTCAGTGTAAGATAGTTTTATTTGGTCTAAAGTTTCCCAGATTAATGGTGAAAATTTTCAACAAATATTTCGCCAATAAAAAATGTGAACTTTAGTTTTGTACTAACCAGTAATATAAACTATTAAACATTGATAACATTAAATTTTGACAATTGACTATGTGAATTTTTTTTTTCCCTATAACAGATAGATCAGATTCTGGTTCATCAGCAAATTGAGCTTCTAGAAGGTGTGTATTCATTGTATCCATCATATTTCTAGATTTATGCAGATAAAAGCATTATCAGACACTGCAAAGGTAGTACTCTCAATCATGTGAAACAGTTAAACAGGTTATTTTTAAATGTCTGTTTGAAATTTTATCATAATTCATCATGTACATTATCAGCAATTCATTTCTGAAAATTAGTCAAATGGTAAATATGAGTATAGTGGGTATATATCCTTATGATATAGATATTAGATACGAATATTACAAGGAAACTATCGAGACTTACTTTTACTCCTCTCTCTTTTCAAATCACTAAAAGTTTTTTAGCATTTTGCTGGACTTTTACCACTTGAGCACTTTTCTCCCAACTTGAGATCACCTTGAGAAGGCGACAGAGTCACATTCAGCTGCCTTAGTACATCTCCAAAGCAAGTGATCTCTGGATTCAGAGGCGGATGATTTTGCTACTGGATATTAAAGCCAGGTGCATTTTACCTCTGAACTATATCTCCATTCTTCCTGCTACGGATTTTTTTCTTCTTTATTTTGAAACAGGGTCTCACCAAATTGCTGAGATTCTCACTAAGTGGCTGAAGCTGGTCTCAAATTTGAGATCCTCCTGCCTCAGTCTCCCAAATTGTTGAGATTACAAGTATGTGCCACCACACTCAGCAAGATGGGGATGTTTTAGAAAATTGTCATTCATGCCCACGGTTTCTCTTGGGAAATCAGATGAACCCTGTGGAATGTGCATTCCATGACCTGCGTGTTATCTCCTGGGGTTTAGGGCCACTGGGGCACTGCTGCTCTGGAGGCCTCTTCTGCAAGAGTATTGCTGCTCCAGAGTGGGCCTCCAGGTGCTTCCAAAGGTCCAGGGCTTCCAGATGCAGGAATAAACCTGGGAAGTCACTAGATCCTTCAGGGAAGCTACTAGGGAATGACACTTAGGGAGATATAGGAACCATTATTCCAAATACCAGGGAATAATAGAAACTCGACTTGTTTGTAGAATACATCTGTTAAACCCCATCTTTTGCAAAGTTCCTTTCCAAGGGTGAACATAAACTGTGTAAGCAGGGTAATGGATTTTATGAAATTACACAATTGTCACCTATGACATTTAAGATATTAATAATGTAATTATTAGATGTTTGTATTATTCATCATTTTGATTGGTTTCTTTTAACATTACTCTAAAAGAAAGTTCTTTTTTTCCCTTTTGCACCAGGGATTGAACTCAGTGGCACTTAGCCACAAAGCCACATCCTAGGCCTATTTTGTATTTTATTTAGAGAGAAGATCTCACTGAGTTGCTTAGTACCTCAGTTTTGCTGAGGCTGGCTTGGAACTTACAATCCTCCTGCCTCAACCTCCTGAGCCACTGGGATTACAGGCATGTGCCACCATGCCAGGCCCCTAAAAGGGAGTCCTTTATTGTTTTAAATTTTGAAAATATTTTATTCTGTGGTATATGTCATTTAAGTTATAAAATCCTCATAGGCAGACACCATATATTCCATAGCATATAAACTTATCTCTTTTTAGATTTATAAGCATTTAAAATATTTCATCTTGAAATGTAATTTTTAAATTTACTAGTATTTAATTCTTCAATTTAGGCCAGTGTCAGCACTAGCAAGGACAAAGGAACTTAGCAAGACGATCTCAAAAAATAAAAATAAAAAGAGCTGGCTAGTAGATAAGCACCACTGGATTCAATCCCCAGTCCCTCCAAAAAAAGTTTTTAAAAAGGTAGTCCTTAATTTTCTCTTTCTCTCTCTCTCTCTTTTTTTTTTTTGCCCAATGTGTAAAGTCAATAATATTTTTTTCATATTATGAGTTATGTGAATAACATGATTTCTCAGTTTCTGTCAGCAAATTAGGCACTCACATTTTTCCTCAATTCAAAACTTATCAGAAAGAAAACACAAAAACATGAAATTATTTTATTTTCATCTTTTAAGGAAAATCATAGATTATATAAACTCATGCTATTCAACAAATAAAGAAGTTGAAGATTTCTGAGATTAAGGTATTAATGAAGCAATTAGTGAAAAATAAATGTCCTCTCAAAGCCACTTTAACTTTTTTCCTCTCTAAATATTTGGCTATTGCAGATGGGCGGGACTCTGAATCCCACCAAAGACACTTGAAGAAGTTCGTATTGATAGAACTTTATTTATTTATTTACTTATTTATTTGTATTTTTATTTATTTTTATTTTTTTTAGAGAGAGAGAGAGAGAATTTTTAATATTTATTTTTAGTTTTTGGCAGACACAACATCTTTATTTGTATGTGGTGCTGAGGATCGAACCCAGCCCCAGATGCATGCCAGGCGAGTGAGCTACCGCTGGAGCCACATCCCCAGCCCCAATCTTTTTTTTTTTTTAAAGAGAGAGAGAGAGAGAATTTTTTAATATCAGTTATTGGTGGATACAACATCTTTGTTTTATGTGGTGCTGAGGATCGACCCCGGGGCCGCATGCATGCCAGGCTGGCGCACTACCGCTTGAGCCACATCCCCAGCCCCGTGTTGATAGAACTTTTGACTGATGTCTCTCTATCCTCATGAAGTCCTTCCACGCAGACCTGAGAGAGTTATTTGGGTCTCCATGTATTTCTTTTAATCACTTTTTGTTTTGGTCAGTCTTCTGACATACTGTGACCCAACTATTCTAGGGCTGTGGATAAGGGAACATTAGCTGTTCCTTCTCGGCTCTGTAAAAACAGAGGTTTCCAGTGTGTGGATCAATATGAGGGGGCATTGGTGAGGTAATACATCCCTCTGTTTTCCCTCATGAAGAGTTTAGCACCCTAAAGGTGTAGAGCTCACTTTGGATGCCCATGGTCTAGAGAGTCTATGAGTTTGAGCCCTGGTTACCAGGCCTCTCCCCACTTGTCCAATACCCAGCTTCACCTGCTTAATAACAACTGCTGAGCTAACCAAGGTGCACTGACCCCGCGTGATGTTCTGATTCACACTCTATTCCCACTTTGTCCTTTTGTACATGATTGCATCAAGATCACCCCTCTTGTTCCTTTTGCTCAAAGTGTAAAAGCTAAGACCTAAGTATCGCTTATAACACAAAATCTTAACCCAATTGATTTAATAAAGTAGTTCATAGAATACAAACACAGCAAACATCCTATAACCCCTCCATAATACTTGAGTACTGAGCACCCCTGTGCCCACCTCCAGCACTGCACCCACCCTGAGCAGCAGAGCCTCCCATTAGGACAGAACGTATGGCATTTGCTAACACCACTTATTTCCATTACCCCATCTCTCCTAAAGATTCAGTTTTTCTTATTTAAGATACTTCCCTCCTCCTCCTTTTGCCTTGTTTTCTTTTATTGGTCTGGTTCACTGCTAAACATCTTTTCCCTCTTTCCTGAACTACCTGGAATATCTTCCCAAATTGCTCTAGCTGGATATGATAACATCTTAGGTAGAGTCCACATTCTTAACACAATGATGATTATGATTTCCTCCTTTGTGTGTTTAGTCTTAACAGGCTTTGAAACTAATAACAAGTATGAAATCAAGAACAGTCTGGGACAGAGGGTGTACTTCGCAGTGGAAGAAAATGACTGCTGTACCCGAAATTGCTTTGGATCCGCTAGACCTTTTACCTTGAAGGTTCTTGATAATTTGGGCCGAGAAGTCATAACCCTGCACAGACCACTGGCATGTAGCAGCTGCTGTTGTCCCTGCTGCCTTCAGGAGGTCCGTGTGCCATAGCCAGGGCAGTCTGTGAAGAGTTCAGCAAGCATTTTCACCCTTTCATTCAACCTGGACGTTAAGATGGTTATCACATTTTATATATTTTGCTTTTGTAGATAGAAGTACAAGCTCCTCCTGGGATACCCATAGGTTACGTTATTCAGAACTGGCACCCGTGTCTGCCCAAGTTTACAATTCAAAACGAGAAGAGAGAGGATGTACTGAAAATTACCGGTCCCTGTGTTGTGTGCAGTTGTTGTTCAGATGTTGATTTTGAGGTAAGAACAGACATAATGTTTATAAGACTTGCTCTTTCCTAACATAAGAAGATAATTTTATTATCATAAACACATGGAATAAGTATTGTGCTCTGATACCTCAAAAGAGAGGTAATGTGCTCACGTATCTAACTTCAGTCTGAGTGATGGTCACTACTCTAGAGGTCAGTATCGATCATACTCAATAGGGCAAAAAACGAAGCAGCAGCAGAGATGTGTAGTCAAATAAAAACAAGCAAAATGTGTAGCACTTAAACATGGTAGTTTCTGAATAGTGACACCGTATGTTATCTGCTTTAAACAGAATGCTAAGCCTTATCATCTAGGTCTGATTGCCTGACCCCCCAGAGCCCTCCTCGTCTGTGTTACAGGCCATGAATGTTCTAGGTCATGTTGACAAGGCCATGTTAATGTCTTTGAGTTCTTAGACAGAGCACAGTTACATAGAGATAGTTTTAATAAAGTTGCTACCAATGATTCCTTTTTTCTAGTTTCAATTTCTGTAGTTTCAGTTTTCCACAGTGAATTGTGGCCTGCCAATATTAAATTAAACTTTCCAGAAATATGCGGTTGCTAAATTTTTACTTGYGTGCCATTTGGAGTAGTGCGATGAAATCTCAAGCCACAATCCTCTGGTCCAACTGGACGTGAGACACCCTCTTCCAGGGCACTCTCACTGGATAAGAGTGCCACTAGTAACTGACCCATTAGTTGGTTACCAGGGCAGCTACTCCCACAGTTTGAGTACACTAATTGTATGTCATGGTGCCTCCGTCACTTAGGGAACTTCATCTGGTCACACAGACATTGTCTCATCTTGTGTCACTACAAGACAGATCAGAACAGGATAATAAGATATTTTGAGTGAGAAAGAGGGAAACCATATTCACATAATTTTCATTATACCATATAGCTATATTTTTCTATTTTATTATTAGTAATTGTAAATAATCTCTTAACTGTGCCCAATTTACAAATTAAAGTTTATCATAGGTATGGCATTTTATAAGAAAAAACATAGTACACATAGCATACATTACTCTCTGTGGTTTCAGGGCTCCGTTGGGGGTCCTGGCATGCAAGACTCACAGATCAGGAGAGATTACTGTATAATACATACTGCCCAAATTGTGCTGCTCTGGAATCTCTGATTTATCCCTGTACAAATTAGGGCTTTKGAACTATAATATGTTCAAGTATTTACTACATGGGAGAATTTCCTTACGACAGTTCTCCAATAGATGACCTCAACTTCTAATCCAATTCTTTTGGTTGCAAAATGCTTAAAGATGGGGACATTTTATAATTTACCCTCGATTTCTTGTTTCTTCTAGAAAATCAGAAAGTATGATAAACTGGACCCTACCTTTCCAGAGGATGGGCTAAATTATCCTAAAGCTGAATAGGGCTATTCACAATGTCATGTGGGAAATCTGGTATTCTCCCCACATCTTCCTAAGGTTTCCCACCAAGCAGCTTTATTCTGTTATCTGTTTTCCTTCTCTATCCATATGGATTTCAATTCCTCTGTTAGAATCTGRTTATATGTGGTGAATCCGTTCTCTCATAGACTTCACAGTCTAACAACACAGATGGTGAACTCTTAMGAAAATACATGTGATGTAGAAACTTTTAAAAGGAAGTTGTAAAGGAATTTGTATAGTGTGTAGTGTGTGTGTGTGCGTGTGTGTGTTTGTGTGTATAAAAACTTCATATGGTGTATGGACAGTCATCATTCTGCATGCAGGAGATGACATGTCTATCACAGAGTCAGAGAAAAAAACGATAATTGCTCCTTAATGAGTGATATTCACAAATTTAGTTGGCATATATTTTATTTGGGGATATAAGTAGAAATACTGGAGAAGCATTTTTAAATTCTTATATTGAATGCTAAGGAATTGAGACTGCATCCAGCATCCATTTTCTGGGGATTTCTTAAAGCAACCATTATTTGTAGTGAATTAACTTCTCCCCTGTGCATCTAGAATGATAATATCTAGGTACCATCTCTGACAGAATTGAGAAGCATTCACTTGATTCATTGTCTAGAGGGTTTATAATGTGAAGGTTGATATTTTAAACCAGGAATTATACATATGAGCAATAGTCATGGGAACTTTTTTTTTTAATATATTTTTTAGTCGTCAATGGACCTTTATTGAGTTGTCAATGGACCTTTATTTTATTTATGTAGATGAGAATTTATTTATTTATGCTGAGAATCGAATCAGTGCCTCACATGCTAGGCAAGTGCTCTATCACTGAGCCGCAACCCAGCCCCTTTGAGTGAAAGAGGTTATGAATAGCTTGATCAACAGCAGGAGTAAGAGTCACTTTAAAGACTGATTCTAAAGATACATTTCCCAGGTGCACTGAGGGTGGCTAATTTCATGCCTTTGATGTCCATGAAGGATGAAAGAAAATTTAGAGATGATTCYGATGTTATCCTTCTGATGTCAGATGTTTGAGAAGTCTAATGAATAATGATACCATTGACCAAGTTAAAAATCATGTAGTTGGGGGTAGACTGTTGATTTGTTGGAAGCTAATCTTTTATATTTAGGTCATGTTGGATCTTGGTTATGTAGAGGAAAGAGTTGGGAGTTTTCACCATGCAGATGRTAGTTGAGTCTGTGAGACTGTTATCCCAAGGAAGAGTAGGAGAGCCCAGTGGACCATCTGTCCATTTAGATGAGAGTGTGACTCCTTCCAAGATTCTTGCTAGGGGAAAAATATGCCCACATGAAATGCATCCCACTCCAATCTTATTTGTTTGAAGTCTGAATTCATAATATTGTTGTTATAATTGTTATGTCTTCATATCAAGGATATCCCAAATGTTATATAAATTCTTCATTTGAAAATCTTATCAGCAACCATTTTTAGTTATATGTCATAATTTATTACCTTTTATGCCCTTGATACATACTCAGATACTACGTGCTATATTACAATTCAGATTTTTWAAATTTATATTTGAGGTGAGTCTAAGGTTTCCCTTTTATAGTATTATTCACCAATTATTTGTATTCAATTTATGCATTTAAAATTTTTATAATAACATAGCATTAATTTTTTATTTCCAGAGGTTAAAATTTTATTATATGTTACTAAAAATTTGCTACAAAATTTTCTTGTCCTGAAAACTCTTTTTTTTTTTTTTTTTTTGGTGGTGCTGGGGATTGAACCCAGAGCCTTGTGCATGCAAGGAAAGCACTCTACCAACTGAGCTATCTCCCCATCCTCCAAGTCCTGAAAACTCTTTAGCTAGAGATCATTATTCACATTTTCAATTCATGCCAAACAAAAATGGACATTTTCTACTTCTGACATAAATTCTGTTTAATTTGTAATTTTTGCTATAGTAATCAAAAATGGTAAGTAGTAATATCTTTATGAATGTAGCRTTGAGATTATGATGACTACCAAGTTATCATCTTCATTTTTCATTTTAAAAAATATTTCAAAATTGAAAGATAGAATAAAGTTTTCAAATGCTTAAATGGCAGTATTGCAAATAAAATACTAACAGATATAAGCCAGGATTTGTATTGGCTTTGTTTATCATGACATTGTCTCATCTCACATAACTACTAAAATTCAGTGGCTTAAAACCAGAAGCATTTTTTCTTATGCCTATGTCTGGAGATCAAGTGTACTTCAATGGATATAGCTAGGTTCAGATGGACAATTCAGACTTAAGTTGCAAATTGGTCTAGGTTCTGTTCATATATGTGTGTTGTAGGGCTGTAACCACAGCAGCAACTGGGATGAGGTTTTCTAATAGGTTTCCACTGCAGAGCAAGAGCCAGGTCAGACCAGGTAGCCATGTTGAAGAACACTCTTCATGTCACCTGCAAACAMGCCTTGGTCAAGCAGTCACATGGCCACCTACTCCTGATCAGTCATGCACAGGAAGAATCCTGGGCCTACACAGGAAGTGAAATGAAATGAATATTCAAGGAACAATAATCCAGGCTATTGCAATTTCATATCAGAAGTGTACTTMAGATTTTTTAAGATGCCATCTACCTCCACCCAAATGAAATGGGCCAACACTTTGTATTCTCCCCAGATTTGTTTAGTAGGTCCCAGCCTGCAACAGGGACCTCAGGGTATGTTGCTAGCACTTGTGGTACCTTGTGCACATTTGAGAAGGACTCACCTCCTCTTTGTTTAACAGAATCCTAGGTGTACATGGCCAGACAAGTGTCAGTGGTGTTCAGTCCCCACCTGTCTACCTGAGTGGCATTAATCGGGGCACAGTCTGCTCAATTCTGTGATGGCCCTGGGCTTTCCTCTGATGGAGCTGCAAAAGCAGATGCTTTAGACGTTACTGTTTACATCCCCCAAGTCGTCCCTTTATCCCACCCTGGGATAGCCCATAAAAAGTTACACATTGGTCAGTTCCTTCACTCGAACAGCCAGCCTTTTCTAGGCATGTCCTGTTTCTCTACTCACCATGCCTCGTAATGAGTCCTCTGTCATATTTATTAAAGCAGAAATCTAATAAGAGGGTTTTTTTTTTCTTTTAAATTATCTTCCTCATGGCTTATAGAAATTTTATCACATTTTTAATACCTTTCTGCTTAAATTTTGTTTTGGATCAACTCAAATAACTTATTATGATCTGTATTAATGCAAAATAGGAATGTTAGATATTTCAGCAAACTACATTTATTAATTCTTTTTCTGTGCAATAAAACATTTTTTTCACATATCCATAAATAGACACAGGAGCCTGCATGTATCTAATGAGGGCTGCACATTCATAGTTATATATGGGCAGAATTTTAATACATTTCTTGTGTCATTTTATTTTATTTTTTTATGTTAAAATCTTTTTTTTTTATTGTTGGTCGTTCAAAACATTACATAGTTCTTAATACATCATRTTTCACAATTTGATTCAAGTGGGTTATGAACTCCCAATTATACCCCGTATACAGATAGCTGACTTGTGTCATTTTATAGCTTTGCTGTAAATTTTCTAAAAATCACTAAGTCTTTATTTTATTATTTTTTTCGATGCAGATTAAATCTCTTGATGAAGAATCTCTGGTTGGCAAGATTTCCAAGCACTGGACTGGGTTTTTGAGAGAGGCATTTACTGACGCTGATAATTTTGGGATTCAGTTCCCTCTAGACCTCGATGTGAAAATGAAGGCTGTGATGCTTGGAGCCTGCTTCCTCATCGTGAGTGTGTTCCTACTGATCCTGGTTACAGAGGGTCTCTCTAGTACCATTTTGAAAGGTTCAGTAAACTATGTATTCCAAAATGACCTTCTACAAAGATTCCCATTTCACCCAAGGTTCAAAATTCTATTTGAATCTGACACTTTGGATACACAGGGGACTAGTTTCTGTCTGAAGGGTCTATGAATTTTCAGAAGACAAGAGAGGACTTTTATGTATCGTGCTGAGGGTCTTTGATTTGGAGTTTTTTGTTTCAAAACACACAATTAGTGCTTTGGGGAAGATGTTAACATTTAAAGGGGGAAAAAATCTATGTTGAACAGGGACACTTTATCTTGAGTCATTTGTAAATTAAATCATAAGATAGGAGTATAAGCAGCAACAAGAGTAAACACTACAATGCAGCTTCTGGATCCAACTACCAATTTATCAGAAATACATGGAATAGAGCAGTGCTTCTAAACCTTTTGAAATCCAAGTACTAGGCCATACCTCAATTCAACCAAGTCAAATATGCGGAATCAAAAATGTGTGTAGATGATTTCAAAATGACCCAAGTTAAGGATTATGGAGACAGAGGAATTATTCTTCACCTCAGCTGTACACTAGAAATACCTAGGTATCTTTSAAACTCCCCATGTTCAGATTCCTCCTAAACCTGTTTGAATTGAAATCTCTTTAATCTATTTACAGCTCTGAGATGATTACTTTGTGGCCAAAGTTTGAAACACTATATGTTTATCTTATTGACCTGGGGATGAAATCTTTCCGAAAAAGTAAGAAAATGTACAGCAAAAGGGACCCATTTCCAAGCCTGGCATGGTGGTGCACACCTATAATCCTAGCATCTTGGATGGCTGAGGCAGGAAGATTGCCAATCTCAGCAATTTATCCAGGTCCTAAGCAACTTAGCAAGACACTGTCTCTAAATAAAATACAGAAGTGGCTGGGGATGTGGTTCGGTAGTTAAGTGCCCTTGGGTTCAACTCCTGTTACCAAACAACAACAAAACAAAGGACCTCAATTCCTTTGATAAATAGGCACTGAAGTAAGTAAAAAAGATAAAATAAAGCAGATGGCTTAAGAGCCACCAACCTAGTGTAGTTTATAGATCATGTTTAGATATCAATCCAAACAAACCTATACAAAAAGGCATTGGTTAAGACATCGGGAAAATTTGAACATTGGCTGGCTACTTAATGATAGGAAGGAATTATCAAGGTGTTTTAGATATGATGATGATAATATATAAAAACAAATTTCATATATTTTAGAGAGGAATAATGAAGTGTTCCATCATGAAATGTTTGATATCATGAATTTGGTTTGAAATAACAGGTGTGAGGACAAAAGAATTTAGAGGACAGAGTAATTGATGGAAGTAAAATTGGTCATATTAATCATTGTTGAAGCTGGATTAGCAGTTGCTGGAGCTTTTTGTTATTATTTCTATTATTTCTAAAGTATTTACTACTTCCTATAATAAAGCTTAGGTGGAAATTATATGTTCAGTAAGTGAAAAAAAAGTTGTGTTCTTTAGTAAGYGTTCTTTCTCCCTAAAATGTACATTTAACCTTAACCTTAAGGAAACTGTTTAACCAAAGCAGAGAGTATGAAAGGTATGGTGTTCAGGGCAAGAAAGAAAGCTGAGACTGTTTAAATTGATGGGAAATGGGGCTGGAAGTGGTATGGTAGAGGATTATTAGGAAATTTCTGTGGTCTATTGCTAAAGAAACTTAAGATATAGTTAAAAATGAATAAGTCGTAGTGTATCACTAAGGACTATACATAGCAATAACATGCTGCATATTTYAAGAAAGCTAGAAAAATGGATTTAGAATGTTTTCACCACACACAAAAAAAATGCTCATTGTTTGAGGAAGTAGCTATGTCTAACCTAACATGACCCCATGTATAGTTCTCTTGAAAAGTGGAACCCATAAATGTAGTTTTTATGTGTCCATTTAAAATTTTTTATAAAGAACTTCTAAAGATTGGGCAACTTTTCAAAGATACAGATTGATTCATTGAAAATTATGTAATTCATGGTTGTTTTAAAATGAGGCATAATAAAATAGTTATAAATTCATCCTTTAGAAAGATAGATGCTGGTGCCCATATGGAAAAGGGATTGAAAGGAGATAAAATTGCAATATTGTAAAGCCAATGATTTTTTTTTAATATTTATTTTTTAGTGGTAGTTGTCCACAACACCTTTATTTCATTGTTTATTTTTGTATGTGGTGCTGAGGATCGAACAACCCAGAGTTTCGCACGTGCGAGGCGAGCGCTCTACCTCTGAGCCACAACCGCAGCCCAAAAGCCAAAGATTTGTAGGAATGGTTAATAATCACCTCTACCAGGATAAAGGAAAAGAATAGGTACTTGAGAAATAAAATCCATAGAATGTGACTGAAGTTGAAGAAGAAAGGGTTTAGCTGGAAATCCTTGTTTCTCGGAATGAAATAAGCTGGGGGACACAGGTTTGATTAACCTGGGAAACCAACTTCCATCTGTAGTACATTCTAAGGTGGTTCTCATTGTGCCCCCAAATCTGACAGGGTGCATGTCTCTACAGAAGTTACATTACTAGAGAAGGACTACGAAAATCTGAGGAAGACAGATTAAAAGATAAAGATTTCAAAAGGGATGACGGAAGAAGAAATTAGAGAATTAACAGATTAAGTCCATATAGGTATTAATAAACAAGACTCTGARGCTGTAGCTCAGTGGTAGAGCGCTTGCCTAGCATGTGTGAGGCACTGGGTTTGATTCTCAGCACCACATAAAAAATAAATGAATGAATAAATAAATAAATGAAGGTATTATGTCTATCTGCAACAAACAAACAAACAAATAAATAAATGTACTTTGATTGCTATGGGAATGGAAAGGTGAAAGTGGACCTTACACAGTTGCAGACTTTTCCCTGATTCACTTATGACACTCAGTTTTTCTTGTTTGACAGATGTGTGTGGTCAGATCTTGAGCTTTGCGCATCTGAAAACTTATCTCAGCTTTATTGCTAAAAATTCATTTCCATATTTTTGCTCCTTTACAGGACTTCATGTTTTTTGAAAGAAATCAGGAATGAAAATGAGAAGTGTGGTGTACTAATGAAAGTGTCCTCAGAAAATTGGGGGACTGCATATTGATTGAGGCTACTAAAAGGAAAACTCAGTGTTTTTTTTTTTTTTTTTTTCATTATTAAAAGTGCTCACATATGTATGAATAACACTGTGATGCCTACAAGTTCATTGTATGGTTTTGCTTCTTAAAGAAATGGGTTTTCTGAATCATTGGCTTATATATGTATATTTTTATATATTTTTTAATATTCACTGTGAATTTCAGAAAAAGAACATAGCATATTTTTTATTTTGAAATGAAGCTTCATATTGAAAACTGCTTTGAGTTATAATCTCTCATTTGCTTTTTGTTTTGTAACAAAATTAAAGCCTTAAAGTAACTTTAATATAAAATTATAGATTATTTTATTACACTTAGTTACAATTTATTTCATAAAACACCTAATGTTATTTTGCAAATACTATCTATTCAAATTGTTTTATGTATAATTATAATGCACCAATAAATTTTTTWAAGTTAAAAACAAGTTTCTGCTTTCTTTGCCACTACAGTCAAATACAAYTCAATATGGATATTATTTAGGAAGCATAGATGAGGATTTTGTTCTCTAGGGAATCGCAGTATATTTAAATGTTCCTGCTAACCATAYTTCTGTTAAAAGAATAATTTTCACACTGACAAGACAATAAATTACCAATTTTAAATGTTTTCAATGAGAAAATTAGGACATAATTCTGTGCCAGAGAAAGATTAATTTTTTATTCACCCACTCTAAAACTTTACTATTGGTRTAATTTTAGAAGTGATTATTTATACATGAAATGTTTAGCTCTCCTGTATTCTAACAATTCCAAACTGTGGKAAGAATGAGATTAATCAGCTGGTAATTAAACAGAACAAAAACTCTTGTTCACAGGTTAATATGTCAAACATATGACATAGAAACTCATTGTTGTATTTTTGCATATATKATTTTATTTTTTAAACACAATGTGGTCCCTGGACTCAGGTGGCATTCTGAGCTCATCTAACCCAGTAGATGAGTTCCCCTCACTCCACTTCCTCTTCAAATTCTCCCTTCTCAAGAGGCAGGGCATGTGATGCCTTTTGGTAGGACCTGTACCAGGGCGCAAGCTGGGCCTTCTGCCTGGCAGAAAGGCTAGGAGGGCTGCCATCTGCTCTGTGGGGAGCTTGCCTTGGGAAGGAGATGAACAGCCATCATTTGCCTCATGCACAAGACAAAGGGCTCAGGAAATGAACCCCGGGAGCCCCCCTTTTGTCCTCAGCAGAGCTCCAACAGCAGCTACTGTCCTCCTTCCTGAGCAYGAGCTCCAGCAGTGCTCCAGCAACCCCAGTAGCTCCACTGGAAATGAGGAGGACAGCAGGACAGGAACAGGACAGAAGAAGCAATGTCCAGGTGAGCTCCCAAAGCCTCTGCAGCTCACCAGAGGCCAGGCTCCAGGGATGAGCTGTAATCATGACACTCACTCCAGCTTGTGCTGGGAAGGCAGCCTGCCAAGTGAAGGGGGGTGCCTGCAGAGTGGGGTCCCTGGGTTATTGGTCATGCCAAGTGGAGAAGGGAGGCATCCCAAGGCAGCAGTCAGGCGCCAAAATCAATCTAAAACGAAGCTTAAAGGACCGACATTTTGGTGTCAACTATCTTGTTTCTTCCCCTCTCTGTGTGGGATTCTGGATCTCTGATTAAGCAGAGGAAAACTACAACTGATCTACAACACAGTTAATYCTTGCTTCATCTCTATAAGGAAGATTTTACAAACCCACACACCATCAGCAGACCCATTAAGTTCATGTTCTAGGCATACATCTTCTCATTTAATGTTCASAGAGAAAAATCATCAAACATGAAGTATTAACAATTCAGTAAAGAAAAACACCAAGAATTGAAACAAATGCTTTAGCTTGTAAATCTCAATGAGATTTGAGGTTTCTACTGAGGGGTGGGAGCAGTACAGGCAAAGTGGCCCAGAGTGAGGGATGAGCAATTATGACTGCTGTGGATGGAAGCTGTGTTTTCAGTCCTGAGAAGGGAACTCTGCAGGAGGTCAGTGGGTATGGAGTAAGAGTGGAGATGGAGGGAGAAGGGAAGAACAAAGGGTGTCCCTGCCTGGGTTTAGCACCTCTGTGCAAGGAAAGGAAAGGCTGGAAAGGAAAAATACACCAGGGACAGGCAAGTAAATCATTCAGAAAATCGTTGTCTGTTTTCTGGCATTCAATTAGTTAACTATTCTCTGCATCCCAGGTATTAAGACTTATTGTTAGAGTTTGGGTAAAAATTATAAATGAAACRTTGTAATTCAGGACAAATTTAAGTGCTCCTGGTGCTGCAAAGTTCCAGAGTGTATGGAACTCTGCTTCTCTACATACCCTATCCAACTCCTGYCCTGTCCCTACCCACCCTGATGTGGCCTTCTGGCTTTCATAGGAGAATGTTTCTGCACCTGACCCTCTTTCTGTGTCCTTCCGGGTGTCTTCATTACCTTGATTGTCACTAGTCTAACATCAACATCCAGAGGTGGTTCATTCAGTGACCTAATGCAGGCCCAGAAATATGACCAGTTTTCTGCAGCTGAACTATAACAGAAAAATTTAAAAGAATGTGTGTGATAATGCTTAATATTTTTAAAAAACACAGGGAAGTGTTTCAGGCAAATAATTATTTTGGCGAAGTTGGATTCCTATATTGTGCTTGAATGGCATTAAAATTCACTGTGGATTCAAAGATGAGTAATGAGTACTCAGCTCTGCAGAGACGGGATGTCTTCCCTGAAGATGACACACTGGGAGATGAGTCTCGCCTCACCGAAGGGTGGAATGCCTTCTGGACAGAATGACATAGACTTTCCTTTCTCAGCCTCAAAACCTCAAAAGTGACAAACCACGGAAGGTGGGGATCAAAGATCTGAATCGTGAGACAAGACTGAATAAAAATGGACTCTACAGAGCTTGAACTCGATTCTCTGGATCTGTAAGCAGGGCCCCATGGGGTGGTAATCCAGAGGTAACTGGTCAGAGCACCCTGACTTGCCTTTCTCACGTGACCCATTCAAGTAAATCTCTAATCTACTTTTAATGTTATATGGTTGAAAACGGACTGTTCGTGCTAAAAGGTAGTTTAAAGTTTATCCAAGATGGAAGCTGATTAGATTTGAAAAACTGATGCTCAGAGTCTGCCTGACCACTAATGGCAGTTTGTCTTTGCCTGTGGGTTCTGGTTTTTTATCATCAACATAATGAGGTTATTCTGCCTGGCAGGGATAAGGACAAATAACGGCCCCATTTCTCTCTAGGATAGAAGCTTCTTCTGAGAACAGGTTGCTAGGAAACATTTCAGCCTTAATGAAGCATTGCTCATAGAAAGCAATCATCTAGAAGAAATCCAGATCCCTTCTTACATAAGCTTTATAGACTAAGCAGGATCGCAGGATCTTAGTCAACCAGGTACCTTATTTCTTGGTTCCTCTAACAAAATACCTTTGGTTCCTATTCCTCTAACAAAATACCTTTTTGGGTAATTTGTAAAAACAGAAATTTATTTGTTATGATTTTGAAAGCTGAAGTTCAAGGTCAAGTCACCAACAGTCTCAGTGCCATCAGGATGGCACCTGTTGCTATGTCCTCTAAAGGTAGAATGGATGGAAGGGCAAAAGGGGCCTAACTAGTTCTCTAGAACACTTGTATGAGTGCACTAATCCCATTAAGGATGGTGGAGACCTTGAAATTTACCTCCTATATCCATCGTGATGGGTTTAGGATTTCAACACAGGAATTGCTGGGCAGGGGGGCATATTCCTTTAAACATTTGCAAGGGCATATTCCTTTAAACATTTGCGATTGGCCTCCCAAAATTCATTCCTTTCTCACATACAAAATATATTTATTCTGTGCCTATTATCCCCAGAATCCTAAGTCATTCCAGCATCAACTTTAAAAATCTAAGTGCAAACTTTAACTATCATCTGAATCAGACATGGATGGGTAAGCCTGAAGGTGTGACTCATCCTGGAACAAAATCCAGCTGAGAAGGTTGTAAAGTGAAATAAGTTACATGCTTCAAAAACATGATCCAGGAGCAAGCAGAAGAAGACATTCCCATTCTAAAAGGGAGAGAAAATAAAATAGAGGAATAATAGCTCCCCAGTAAGTCCAAAACCCAACAAGGCAAGATTTCAATATGGAGGCTTGAGATAAACTTCTTTGTCTTCATGTGCTGCCCCGGACACCCTGGGGCAGGGGACTGGGCCTCCAAGGCAACACTGTCCTCACAGATCTGCTGGAAGAATCCCATGCTGTAGCCAGCACAGATTTCAGTCTTTGTGCCTAGGGCTCTCACCAGTGGGAGTTACATCCTAGTGACTCTGCACTTCTGGGGTCTTTGGTGAAGCTTATTTCTCAGGGTTCCACTTCTCCATGGTAGTCTCAATCCTACAGCTCCACAGGGCATTGATCGGGTGGGTGGTCTGTCCCCATGTCTCCACAAGAAATTGCCTAATGGGGGCTCTCTCTGGTGGCCCTGCCCTGTTTCTGCTGTCTGCCTGGGCCCTGGGGATCTCCAAGGCATCGTGTGAAATCGAAATGCAGAGAGCTATGCAGTGTGCACCCCCACAGAATCAACACCACAGGAATGTAGCCAGTTATGTCTGTACCTTGGACACCCAAGCTACCCTTGGGCACGTCTGAACCACCAATGGGACCGCCAAAGGAGCACAGCACAACGACTGGAGAACTGAGACTTGAGGTCATAACAGCAGGCCCCAAGTTCCCATGGAACCCATTCCTGAAATTCTTCTGCCCTCAAAGACCTGGCACCCTGGGCCTGCATAGAAGCAGCAGCCTCCAAGACCTCTGAAATGACTTCAGGGTCCCTTCTCCCATCATTTTGGTGAAGGACCTGTGGCTTCCTTCCAGAGCACTGTTCTTATCAGTCTGTAGGCTGTACCTTGGTGTTCTATCCAGTTACACACATTTGCATTCTTTTAAGCTAAGAATCCTTCTAACACTTTGAGTTCTGCCTTTTGATGATAAATTCCATCTTTATTTCTTTTTCCACACGGTTTTACTATAAGCAGTCAAGAGGAGCCGTGCTGCACCCCCCAGTGCCTTGCTGAGGTATTTTTTTCTACTACATATCCTAGTTCTTCAATCTTAAATTCTGCCTGCCCCAATGTCATAGGACACAAACACAATCCAACCAATTTCTTGGTCACTTTGTAACAAGGTAATCAGACAATTTTTGTCTTTTGTTGTTTT